TTTTTTTTTTTTTTTTTTTTTTTTTCATAGGATGGTCACCCTCCCTTGGGATGGTCAGATACTTTTGCATATCTCATCTTGCCTCTGCTTCTGGTTATTACACAGTATATTTCTGTACAGATCATGCAACCCCCACAGGTTTGTCTCACGTGTTATAAAATATTGTTTCTCCTCCTCCTCCCCCAAAAAATGGTTATCAAGTGAGAGGCACTGTTTTCATGACAAAGTTATAATTATGAGTTGTATGCAACAATGTTCGTTTTATGTTCTCGCTATTGTATTTTGCATATCCCGTAGTGTGTTCGCGTGGTATATATTTTCACAACAGTCATATTTTTCTCCTTGATTCCATTTCAATCCTGGAATTTCTTATTAATGATGGGGGGAGTGTTGTGGAAAGGGCACCGTTGCTACATTTACACCAACAATATAGCATTTTACGTGACAATTTTTTCTTATTAGTAATTTATATCTGATGAAGCTTTTTAGTTGAATCATTTTCAGAGCAATGATCCGAATGTGAAGAGTTCCCAAGCCATAACCAAACTGCTACCGTTGATGATTGGCTATTTTGCTTTGTCAGTTCCATCTGGTTTAAGCCTTTACTGGTAAAGCTCCTGAACAGATTTTTAAATAGAACTCGTCCTTTTAACTTATTCCTCTTTTATTTTTCAAGCAAAAGTTACATTCTGGTTTGTTCCTCTCCCATAGTTTCTTTTTCATCGGTCTACAACTTGTGCAGGTTCACAAACAACATCCTAAGTACAGTTCAACAGGTATGGTTTCGGAAATTGGGTGGCGCCAAAAATCCAATCATACAAAAATTCAGTGATAAGAGTGTAAAAAATGAGCAACCGGCAGCTATGAAAGCCATATCTGAAGCACCGGCTGCTACAACGGTAGTCGAAAAAGAAGAGAAACTGACTACAGAGGGGCTTCGTCCGGGTGAAAGGTTAAAAAGCGAGTTTTATTTATACCAAATGATGTTTCTGTTCAGATGATATTTTGTTCTAATCTTCTTCAATTTTTTTAGGTTTAAACAACTAAAGGAACAAGAAGCTCAAAGGAAAAAGCAAAGAGAGGAAGAGAGAATAAAAGCTGAGGAGGTAGTTGCGCAGGGAAGTCGAATAACAAATGGCGAAGTAAATGAAGATGACTCTCAACTAGAGAGAGAAGATAGTCACGATGCCACATCCTCTGGTCCTTATTTCGGGAACAATGATGACCTTTCCTCCAGCGTTGATGGATTTGCTGTGAATGGTAATAGTGTCAACTCATCAGTGAAGGATGGAAATCCTGAAATTTCAGTTGATTACAAGAACGAAAGAAATAAATTGCAACTGGACAAAAATTTAGAAAAGGTAATATTTCTTGATTCCTGTATTTGAACTCTTAGCTTTTTACCTTTTGCTGCAAATATTAATTTCAAGTCGATTGGTATGTTTATGAACAAAAATAGGGTTGTATGAATAATTAGGGAACCAAACTGCTGAAATTGCATCTGTTCATAATCCAACTGATAATGGTAGTAGATTTTGGACTGAGTTGGAAACAACTACCTTAAACTTTAGGGATAATGAAAGGGATCTTGGTGGAGGGGAGAGTGTAAGATATTGAAGGGCGAAATGGTCAAATAGATTTAACATAAATAATCAAAATAGCAAAGAACTACCCCGAAGGGTCGTCAGGCGAACCTACCTGTCACAAACAACAATACACATCTCTCTAACTAAACCCCAGCCAGGATTATATATGTTAACCCTATTATTTAAACTAGACCCTAAAATCTATTTGAAAGCCCACTTAATTAAAATTAAAATTATATTAATAACGTAAATAATAAAGATAATGGGGCCTGTGCCTAAAGACCAAGCAGCGGCCTTGGAGAATAGAATTTCAGACATGAACTTCAGCTGTTGCTGTCCGGACCAGGACAGCCTTGTCCTCAAGGCTGAAATTCAGAAACTGGAAACAGACTTCATCAGCATTTGGTCATCACGGTGATCAACACATTTTATTAAAACGAGGGTAATCCACCCAACAGACAGTAATATGACCTTGATGGAATCTGTCCTACTGCAGCTTTTTTAACTAACTGATGCTGAAAGGGATGACGTTTAACGAATACTTTTTCCCTAATAATGAGGGTTGAAATTGAATAAACGAGTTGCCTGGGCTATACAAAATAATGAGGGTTGAAATCGAATAAACAAGTTGCCTGAGCTATACAAAGCTTCAAACTCAGAAAAATAGTCATTGATGGAGCTGGTTTGCCAAGTGAGCTTCAGCATCTCGTAGGGCATTGACAGCCGTGATAATACTGATGACGCATGAACCTCTTAAATCAATATAATGTGTCCCCGAACAATTATGGGAGCTAGGGTAGGGATGTTAACGGGCCGGGTTGATGTTGGTTGGGCAAACCTAAACTCTATCCGCATGTATTTTACCCTACCCGAACTCGACCCGGTTTGGGTGGGTTTCAATAATCGGATACCCAACGGGTAAATGGGTATAACCCGATTTCACTATATGGGACTTTACCTCGACCCAGACGCCAACCAAACCCGTATAATGTAAAGGGAATATTTGAATATTCTACTGCACGATTAATTATGATATAACTTATAAATAATGTAACTAATAAATTGTTAACATGGTTTGAAAATAAAATTAATCTAAAATTTTACAACTTTTTAAAATAGTGATTAGATCAGTTTTTGGTTATAGTCTAGCTAATAATATAATATTTAGGTTCGATCAGTTTTTGGTGGCACGGGAACTGCTGTGGTTTAAATCGTGGTTTGGAATGTGTTAGTCTTGGTGGGGTCTTCGGAATCAGATGTCTTATCCTTTATTAATGTGCTGAATTCTAAAATTGATAGAATGAAGGGGAAAAATTCTAATAAATAAATTATAAAAACAAGATAGCGATGATTTACTCCGTATGGTCCTCAGACCAAATGCTTGTGTAAAATATCAACATCTGGAAAAACACACCTCTCTGTAACCCGCAGCCACGATTATCTCCCCATATATTAATTCAGAACGTGCTGAGCCTAAGTGGCAGGCTCGCATGCTTCGAGATCCTATGTGGAAAAATTACATGCTTCATTAGGCTTTGGTAGATTTTTATTTACTTTCAATCCAAAAATAATTAGGTCCGAATTATCCTTATATATGTTGATTATTTATGGTCATGTTACATGTATTAATTGTATTTTAATATAATTTCTTATTGTAACTATTGACTTGTAAATGTATTTTAAAAGCTAATAACTTTTGTATTTTTTATCAGTTTTACATATATAATATATCAAATTAATCATATTGATGAATTTCGATTTAACATCCATATTGTATGTAAAAATAATTAAATTATATTTATGTTTATGACAATAATAAAATTATTTTTTAATTATGAGAAAAGTAAAATTATTTATCAATTAATATATTTATATTTCAAGTAGTTATATGATAAAAGTTATAAAATTGCTATAGTATAACACATGTAAGTCGCACGAGTAACAGGTCTCATTATAAAATGTATATTGATATATATTTTTTGTAAAAAAAGTAAATAAAATTTAAATTTTTCTCATTAGTTTTAAAATTTAAGAATGATTTTTTAACAAGCACCCGTGTAATACACGGGTGTTGTACTAATATTATTTTATAGATTAACTTTATTTTTAAATAATTAGACCCTAAAGCCCAATTAAGAGCCCACTTAGGCCTTGTTTGGCAATCAGCGGTTAGCTGTTAGCTGTTAGCGGATTGCATTAGCTGTTTTGACTAGCGGATGGTGTTAGCTGTTTTGACCAGCTGATTGTTTTAGTGGTTTCCAAAAGAGTAAGAGTGTTTGGTAAATTAACTATTTTTAATCAACTGTTAACATGTATATGGACATCTATTCTTTTATATTCTTGTTTATTTAAAAAACGACTTAAAATAACATAACACAAATAAGAAATAACAATATATAACTGTGAACTGAAAAAAGTGATGAAGATTCTAATTTGACATGATAATAAATATTCAAATAAAAAAAATAAAATAAAAAAACATATATGTAAAAATTTGCATATCAATTATCTGCCTTTAATCTTACTCTTCCTCTATAAATTTGCACATAATTTATCACTCAATCTTTCTTTTTTATTTTTATTTTTACAGAACACCTAATTCACTTAATTTCAAATGTGAATGGAGTATTTAAAGAAATTTTAGTTCATTTATAATCTCAATTTTAATTTTAACCCAATATAATAATGTAATAAAAAATAAATCTATTTTCTAAGCCAACTTTGATTTAACCCAAATATGCTAGTGTGTTAAAATAATATGAGGTAGAGTTAATGTAGTAGAGTTAACTAATGGCAAATATGTCATTTTATATTTTTCTCCTCAAAAAGCTATTTGAAAAAACTTCAATTTGTAGCTTTTTGAATAACAGCTTTTAGATCAAAAAAGCTATTTCAAAAAGCTATTAACCAAACATTTTAAAATTGAAGGTTTCAAAAGTCAAACAGCTATCTTGTTCAAAAAACTAATTTGTGGCTGAAACGCCATTTAACAAACATGGCCTTAATAAATAATCTTAATTGTGTATCTAAATAAATATAGCTAGGCCTGTTCCCCAACACCCAGCAGGGGGCTGTTTCAACCTTTGGCCTCCTCCCCCCTTTGTTCTTTAACCTCGGGAAAGAGAAACATGTGAGGTTGAACCAAACCTTAAGTCTCGTCTTTCGTTTGTGAAAAATAATTGTGAGACTTGTATATTTTTTAGGCTACACTAAATATCAAGGTTATCTTTTTAGTTATTCTTAAATATTCTACTACTATTCGAATTTGCCTATGTACGCTATGCTTGTAAGAAAGTTACAAACTTCATTTACATGAGCTGTCAATTACTTCACTAATCTATGCAACTGTTATCATTCTATGTGGGTTAGGACACCATTCTGAAGCCTGAAATGTTCTGTTATTTGCAAAATGCAAGAGCCATTCTTGGTCTTATACAGATAATGAGAATCTCTCCATCGATATCCGAATTCATTTTTGCTCCCTTTAAACTGAAGATGTAAGACGTGTTGATGACGACTAATATCTTTAAATGCTATAATCGAGGGCACTTATGATGAAGGTATATTATTTGCTGAATGAATATTTTTGGAAGCATGTGGCAGACATAAATGTTAGTTATGCAGCAATGAAATAAATTGGATTAAAAATCCAATTAATTTATTCCTAGTTAACTGCAATATTGCCGTTGCAAGTCATATGACTTGCTGTTAGCTCTTTCTTGTAAAAGTTTGGTCAGCTGAGGTGGGCATTTGACACAAAGTTATCGACTGCCTACAACGAATTTTTTTATCTGTTTAGGATAATTCTTTGGGTTATTCCAAAAATAAATTCCATAATGTTGTCAGCCAGTACAACTATATCAAATCATCTTTCCCAAGTTGGGAACATGCACTTAGTATTTGTACCCCTTTCAGATATTTGCAGTTTCTAAATGTGCGTTAGGTGTTGTGTAAGGCAAATACAAGACGAGGAATTTGTTGGTAATTTCATAGATAGATGCAAGCCTTGTAGTCCAAACAGTATTGTTTACCCCTAATTTTGTTTTGATGATAACTCAAAAATTGATTCTTTCGGTTATTTACCCGGCCCTCCCCAAGTTCCTCAACATGTTGTGAGGAAAAGGACATCTGGAGTTCTTTTGTAATAAGAATGAACGCAATGTAGTTTGTAATCGGAACAAAATATGCCCAATATGCTCTTCAGCTGCCCAATTATGGAACTTTTTTTATGTTCTCTCTTTCTTAACACTTTTGTTTGTTTATTCTTCAGATAATCTATATATTTTTTATTATTTTTATTATTTTTTTTTGTTCATGTTCCTGATAATCCCGGATTGATTTCTTGGCTGTTGAAGAACGAAGATGACTTCCAGAAAAAGGATTCATACTGATACAGCAACAGATGAGCTCTGTCACAAATTTTGCAACAGAGCTGGCTTTTTTCTTAGGTAGGTTCAATCCCTGCCAGTGTAATGATCATGACCATCACTGCATTGCTGCTGAAGAAGAATCTTTTTCTTCAAAAATGGGCAGTAAATTGGACGTCTGATATGCACGGGTAGATTTAAAGGGCAAATTCGTAATTATTTGTTATAGCGGGAAACAGAACACGAGTGCTTCTAATGTAACTATAGCAAAGGACTTATGTATAGTACAGGCCAACATTGATGTTTTTGTCAAGGGCTACGTTGATGTTTTTGTTAAGGGCTTGCTTGTTTACGAATATATTGATATTTGAT